AGCAGCTTTTGTTCTGCCATTACATAAGGGAGGTGACGGTAGTGATTTGGATAACTATCGACCCATCTCTAGGCTCCCTTGTCTGGCAAAGATCCTAGAATCTATAGTCAACAAACAGTTACAATCTTTTCTTTCTGTTAACAGTATTTTTAGCACCAATCAATCTGGTTTTAGATCTAAACACAGTACCACATCGGCCACTATGCTTGTTGTAAATGATATTGCAAATGCCTTAGATGATAGAAAGCACTGTGCTGCGTTGTTTGTAGATTTGTCAAAAGCTTTTGACACTGTAGACCATGCTATCCTTTTGAGTAAGCTGTCACCTATAGGACTGGGCACTGATGCCTGTCGATGGTTTTATGACTATCTTATAGATAGAACTCAGGCCGTCATGGTCGACGGGGTCAAGTCTGACCCCTTACAGTTACTTAAAGGGGTCCCTCAGGGTTCAATAATTGGCCCACTATTGTTCTCACTTTATATAAACAACATTGGTGATGATATCAGATATTGTAAATTCCATTTATATGCAGATGACACAGTGATGTACTCTATCGCTCCAACAGCGGACCAAGCTTTAATGCAGTTGGAGTCTGATTTTAGGATACTACAGGGGTCTCTTTTACAGCTTAAACTTGTTTTAAACGCTAAGAAAACAAAATGTTGTGTTTTTTTCTAGGTCTAAACTCTCAATTAGAAACACTTTTGTAATCACTAGCTTGGATGGTACTCAAATCAAACAGGTCTCTGCATATAAATACTTAGGGGTATGGTTAGATGATAGGCTTTCTTTTAAAAAACATGTTACTGAATTGGGAAAAAAAAGCTCAAATTCAAGATAGGGTTCCTTTACAGAAACAGGGCTTGTCTGTCCTCCGTAAATAGATAACAAATTGTGCAGGCTACTTTTATGTCCGTTTTAGATTATGGTGATATTATCTATATGCATGCATCGGCAAACACATTAAAACCACTGGATGCTATTTACCATTGTGCACTCAGGTTTATCACGGGTGATAGTTACAAAACTCATCACTGTATCCTATATCAACATGTGGGTTGGGCCTCTCTATCTGTGAGGCGAGAGCAACATGCTCTCTTGTTTATTTATAAAGCATTTCTTTTAAAACGACCTCCATATATATCATTAATTTCCACTAGATATACTAATTTTAAAACCAGATCACAGATGTGGATGACATTAGAGACTCCTGTGGTCTCCACAGAGTTGGGTAGGACTGCCTTCAGTTCCTTTGCACCTTATTTATGGAACAAACTGCAGATCCAACTTAAGTTAGACACTCTGGTGTCCCTTGCCCATTTTAAAAAATGTTATGGAGGATCAGTATGATGTTGTTTGTGATTGTTTCTGTTGAATTGTGTTTTTGTTTTGTATGTTTGAAATGTTCTTGTCTGTATGTCTAAAACTGTACATGTCAACATGTTTACACAGGGCACAGCCGTAAAAGAGATCCAGGTCTCAGTCTGTTTTCTCCCTGTTAAAATAAAGATTTAAAAATAAATAAATAAATAAATTAATTAAAAATAAATTTAAAAATGTAAACTTCCGACTTCAACTGTACATAGGCTGCTACAGTATGATCAGTCATCATAGATCAGCCAAAGACAGGATGAGCCACTCAAGCGAGGACTGCCAGGGACAGATGCCTATGCAGAGGCCAGGAGGATTGTGATGTGGGCCTATTTTGTCGGAAACGGCGTAGAGAAAATGTTGCTGTACCAACTTAACAAGCAGCAACACACAATGGTCAGATTTATCATGCTACAAAATATCCTGTCTGTTAAGCTGCTGTACACCAAAGACTGTTACCAATACCATTACACGAAGACTGTTACCAATACCATTACACGAAGACTGTTACCAATACCATTACACGAAGACTGTTACCAATACCATTACACGAAGACTGTTACCAATACCATTACACGAAGACTGTTACCAATACCATTACACAAAGACTGTTACCAATACCATTACACGAAGACTGTTACCAATACCATTACACAAAGACTGTTACCAATACCATTACACAAAGACTGTTACCAATACCATTACACGAAGACTGTTACCAATACCATTACACGAAGACTGTTACCAATACCATTACACGAAGACTGTTACCAATACCATTACACAAAGACTGTTACCAATACCATTACACGAAGACTGTTACCAATACCATTACACGAAGACTGTTACCAATACCATTACACAAAGACTGTTACCAATACCATTACACAAAGACTGTTACCAATACCATTACACGAAGACTGTTACCAATACCATTACACAAAGACTGTTACCAATACCATTACACAAAGACTGTTACCAATACCATTACACAAAGACTGTTACCAATACCATTACACAAAGACTGTTACCAATACCATTACACAAAGACTGTTACCAATACCATTACACAAAGACTGTTACCAATACCATTACACAAAGACTGTTACCAATACCATTACACAAAGACTGTTACCAATACCATTACACAAAGACTGTTACCAATACCATTACACAAAGACTGTTACCAATACCATTACACAAAGACTGTTACCAATACCATTACACAAAGACTGTTACCAATACCATTACACGAAGACTGTTACCAATACCATTACACAAAGACTGTTGCCAATACCATTACACAAAGACTGTTACCAATACCATTACACAAAGACTGTTACCAAAACCTGTTACACAGACTGTTGACCCGGTACCGGTACCATATATAGCCTCGTTATTGTTATTTTATTGTGTTTTAATCTCTGTATTGTTGGGAAAGGGCTTTTAAGTCAAGTCAAAAGTCTACGTGGAAAACTTCCAACATAAAGGAAATGTGGGATTTTTTTATTTATTTTTTACCCAACTTTTAACTTAAATCCAATGACATTGTCTCACATTTTTGTTGATTTCATGTTTAATTCACGTTAGTTTAATGACAACTCAATCAAATGTAAATCAAAACTAGACATTCAACTCATGTCTGTGCCCAGCAGGTAACACTTCGGGCTACGTTCCTCAAAACCGCAAGTGAAGTACCCTCGCAAAGTACAGGCATAGAGGGCTGAAAAGCACATATGTCCCGACCTACCCTGTTTAAACACACGTTGCTAGGTAACCCAACGGACACAACTGGGACTTTAGCTTTATGGGAAGTAGAGAAGAAAACCTTCAACAAATACTGAGGAAGTTATATGCATATGAATAGTAGGTGACTGGTGACTGGTGAATTATTCCAGTCAGGGCTAGCGTTGCAAAACACTGGTCATTTTCCCAAAATACCCACGTTTTAAAAATAACCTGGTTGGAAGATTCCTGGAATCAACCAGGATAAGAAATACTTTAGGAAATTCGTCTTAAAGTAGTTCCGCCAGTATTTTTTGATAACCTTGGAATTTTGGGAAAGTAACCGGAATTTTGACACCCTATATACAGCCTATAACTGAAGATGTGTTCCCTGTGCCAGGTCAGCGTCCAGTCAGCTGTTCTCTTTTAACTTTGACGACGGGGACCCTCAGCGGACACTGAATGAACTGCATGTTTGATGTGGTTGGACTGTGTTGTAGGGCTAACCTAGCCACTGGATGGCGCTAGTTTCAAGCAGAGCCATGTATTTAGAGAGTTGGGCCAAATGCGGTTTCCGTGTTATGATGCATTTAACATGACACTTCAACATTTTTAATGGCAGCCATGTTAGCTCCCTATTAACATTACATGGGGAATATTAAAACAATTATATGTAACTGAATGTCTAGAACTAGAACACTATAAAAAATAACTCTAAATACATGGCTCTGGTTTCATGCTTTATTAGTCAAATGTACAGGATACACATGGTAGTACACAGTGCTGGACTGAGACAGAATTTTTCATCCATCATGTGGCTTTACGCATGGGTAAGGGCCGAGTTCAGAGCTATGTGAACTGTGCACAACTAAGTTATAAAGCAATGGCAACAACTATGTTTCAGAGTCAAAGGGGCAATCTGCAGTTGAAACGATAACAAAGCATACTCACTGTCACTGTTTTGGTAAAAAGCTGAGGGATGGCACTTGATAAATGTAATCACGCTCAAATTCATAGACAGAGCTATGAATGTAAGGACTGACCATCCATGATATAGATTTATATTTATATGGGATGAACCCTATTTTGAGGCTATACAGTGTTATCCTACTTTACTTTTCTTTACTAACAAGCTTGTATTTTGGGTTCTGATGGGCTGTGACTGTTGAAGCTCATAAGTTTTATATTCTTCAAGAATCAATGGTTGCATATCATTCGTTCAATTTAGTCCAAAAAATGGATGTAGCAACAACATATTGCCTCTTTAGGGGACGAAGCATCTGCAAACTCTGCATGATGTCTTCCCAAGGGCACAGCTCAAGTATTTTAATTTTAAAGATACAGTAGATATTGTTTAAGAAGCATATTGGTTTTATTTAATAATCATTAGGCTTATATTTTTTTTATGTGAATCACCCCTGCCAGTATTGACTCCTGCTCAGCATTCTTTGGAACAAAAGTGGACGCGCCGTGCGTCAGCGCGCGCACATGATGCGCTCTCCCTGCCCTTGACAGCCAGGTAGCCTGTTACCCCCATGATCATGCTGCACCGGGTTCCCCCTCCCTCTCCAACTCCCCCTCTCCCCCTTTGTTTACTGGTATGTCAGAGCCTGTGGGATGGAGTTACTGTTGCATAGTACTCTCCATCTGGATGCCGCTCTGAGCCCTTTGAAGTCCTCATTTAATGTAGAGAGCTGCATCTCTCACATTTGATAAGACAGTTGAGAGCCGTCAAGTTTGCGTCTACAGAGAGTTAATATTCCAAAATAAACTTGTAGCCTACATTTTAAGTTTTGGAAAGTGGTAGCCTATAATTGAGAGAGTTTATCAACAAAACAAACAAAAAAAACTAAGTGGAATAAATAAATTCGTAAAGGCAAATATTTTTCCCAACAAAACCATGAGGCTCAAGTGGATGCGCGTCTCTCTTTTGATCTTGGTTCTAGTCCTGGGGAACTCCCGCGGCTCCCAGGTGAAGTTTGGCCGCTTGGATCGGTGGGTGAAGACCGGGTTTCAGTCCCTGAAGTTAAACTTGTGCCGCAGGGTGTCTCTGTCTGAGGGGGAATGTAAGCGGCTGTCCCATCTTCAGCTCAGCGGGGTGGCGGTGTACGTCTCCGAGCCAAACTCTGAGAAAGTACTCGCCATTCTCCCAGATTCCTATTCTTCAGCGATGCTACCGCCGAAGCAGGGCGGTTATGGTACGAGTTCGGTACCGGAGGACAGACATCAGGATTTCTTCCCGGGATCGACTGCGCATGATGCCGTGCTGGTGTTGGATCCTAGTCCCGGAGAGAGTTTCGGACACCCCGTGGTTCTCTTTTATGTGGACCTAAACACGACCAAGAAAAAATGTGCACATATGGATGGAATTTATTTAGGTAAGACCATATTCATGTAATATGTTTACTTTGAAAAATAAACTTTTAATATGGATATCTCAATTTATAACTTTTTTCTTATAATAAACGTTTTTTCTTATAAGTAGCCCACTGGGCATAGACATCAATACAATGTCTATTCCACGTTGGGTGGAAACAACGTTAATTCAACCAGTGTGTATCCAGTGGGTGGGTAAATGTTCTAATTTAATTCTACAATAACGTTTTGAAAGGCTATCCCATTTAAAGATGAATTAGCCTAATTGTAAGGTCAAATGTAGTCTTAAACCTTTAACTGTTCCTTCTTCAAAAACATGTTGAAAAAAAAACAATTTCACCTTAAATTCCTATTACTAACAATGCAAATAAGAACTTCCAATATTTATTTTTTCAACTTGATGTTTATTTAGGAAATAACAGAGATCTACCATGCAGTTGAGAAGTCAAAAGAGGGTCATATCAACACTGCCTTATTCGAATGGCAATTTGAATAGGCCTAGCATTTTTACTCATCTCAACAATATTTCAACAAAAATTACTTTAGGTCTGCTTCAATGACTTTTATAGGTAGGTAGGTAAGCATTGGTAAATGAGGATTGATGTCAAATTTTAACAAATTATGGTAATTTTGTATGTCCAAACATGAATATTCAATGACGTTGAAATGAATGCGTTTTCAGGTGGTATAGATTACTATTATAGACATTCTTTTATATGCGACCTTAAGTCTGAATATTGATTAATTGATCACATGGGTCATGAAATGTGGTTAAACCAATTTATGCTGCCTAATAATATAGCATGTTGTCATATTCACCTTACTTTTTACTGATGTATCAACCGCCTGGTTGAGCACATTTTTCCAAAATGTTTGCTTTTGAGCCTTTTTCATATTCCTGGAACGGTGCAATATTAACCCCTCACCAACTAAATTCCTAACTTTTATCACATATGGTGACTGATTTTTGAGTGTTTTCAGCCCTCTGAGTGGGCAAAGTTAGAGTGCCACAACACTGAACTGCAGCACCCCAAAAGGAGACAAATTATGTTAATTGAATCAGGAAGGCTGGGGGAGTTGACCAATCAAGTTCAAGTGAATCTTTTTTTTTCAATATCCGCCTCTAAATCCATTGTCAAAATATGCTCTAACAGCCGGTTAGAAACAAGGTTAAAGAGTTTTTAAACACTGGTGTTCCAGATCAGCTTGTTATAGAACATTTCTAAGATGTGGTTTGATTGAGAACATGATTTCCTACATGGACAGCTGTTTCAACCATTTATCAATCCACAATGCTGTAAAAGTGATGAAGTGTTTTCAAATGGTCAGAAGTTACGTAGCCCGACTCCCATGAGAGGGAGTCATTCTATGAGACTGGAAGGGGAAATCAGAACATTCTCTCCATATGTACTGGGATGCAGAGAGAGAGAGTGCGCTGAAGGGGTGAGAGCACTGTGAGAGAACCGGAACAGGACAAGTGTGTGTTTGTGTGTGTATCGTGTGCATGCCGTGTGTGTACCGTGTGTGTGTGTGTGTGTGCATACCGTGTGTGTGTGTATGTTACGCCTGGGCGAAAGTGTGTGTGTGTGAGAGAGAGAGAGAGAGTTTGTAAGCAGTAAGCAGTGCGAGATAAGAGAGCTCTCAGGACCCGTCAGGTGGTGGACACCCTGCTGGGATAGCAGAGGGTCCAGATGCATGGCTGAACCCAGTCACTGCCACCAGTCATCTATTCACAATAAGACCTCTCCATTATTCATCTTGAGTGGATGCTGTCCTTAGCTGAAACCATCCATTCCAGTCAGCACCACCTACCACCCCACCATCCACCACCCTCTGCCCTTTCAGCCTCTCCACCCTGCTGCACTTGGACAGGAGGTAGGAGTTCCACAACTCTCAACTGTGTCTCTCTACGGACCCTTTTAACTTCTCAGCTCTGCCCTGCCTCACACACTCCTGTCTAGTGCACGACAGCTCTGCCCTGCCTCACACACTCCAGTCTAGTGCATGCCAGTGGACAGACAGAGACCAAAGTTGACGCGGTTCCAGGTTAATTATCAATACAGCTGAAATCAAAAGTATCATCTATCTGTGAGGATCAGCTATGAGGTATGCAGCTTTGCTCATTCGTTTCATCTACTGATTGTTTCTCACTAGAGAAAGGCTTATATAGTTAAAAGGGGCAGAGGGGTTGAAATGCTTAAAATAGGTTAATTTGAAACAGATTAAAACAATTGGACTGAATGTACGAACGTCACCACTAAAATAATACTGAGCAGGAAGACGGAGGCCGGAGGGGTAATAGCAGCTCAACTCAGTCACGTTAGGAAGGCTTGGATCTGGAAGTGTTTTGGGGGTTTGCATGTGTCCAAGCTTGACCACCTCATCTGAAGCTGAGGGGAAACACTAAGAGAGAGAGTACCACCCAGGTCTTTTTGTGTTCAATATAACGAGACCCAGGAAATGGGTTAATGACCACAGTGAGCAACAGGAAATGGGTTAGTGACCACAGTGAGCAACAGGAAATGGGTTAGTGACCACAGTGAGCAACAGGAAATGGGTTAGTGACCACAGTGAGCAACAGGAAATGGGTTACTGACCACAGTGAGCAACAGGAAATGGGTTAGTGACCATGATGAGCAACAGGAAATGGGTTAGTGACCATGATGAGCAACAGGAAATTGGTTAGTGACCACAGTGAGCAACAGGAAATGGGTTAGTGACCACAGTGAGCAACAGGAAATGGGTTAGTGACCAGAGTGAGCAACAGGAAATGGGTTAGTGACCTCAGTGAGCAACAGGAAATGGGTTAGTGACCTCAGTGAGCAACAGGAAATGGGTTAGTGACCACAGTGAGCAACAGGAAATGGGTTAGTGACCATGATGAGCAACAGGAAATGGGTTAGTGACCATGATGAGCAACAGGAAATGGGTTAGTGACCACAGTGAGGAACTTGAAATGGGTTAGTGACCACAGTGAGGAACTTGAAATGGGTTAGTGACCTCAGTGAACACACACTTTCTCTCACCCACATACGTTCTCTCTTAGTGAGTGTTCATCCTGAATGACTGGTCCAGGAAGCTCTCTCTCCAAACTGTCACATTTGTCAAAAATAAAGAAATTAAAAAAAAAAATTAAACCTTTTTTGTTGTGACAATAAAAACATACAAAAACAAGACAACTCAACATTTACACAAATTTACACTAACCTTAATGACATCACACATGCTCAGATCCACATGTTCCCACCGTATCCACACCCAATATTGTTTCTAATGCTTGTAAGACTCTATAAGACAATATGTCTCAGGAAATAAATGTAAAGTCCACAGCTTTGTCTTGTTAAAACACAGACGCAGGCTATGGACATTGGGGCCCGGGCTGTGGACATGGGGGCTGGGGCTATGGACATTGGGGCCCGGGCTGTGGACTTGGGGGTGTTGTTGTATTATGTTGTGTTGTGTTTCAATATGTGATGTGTTGTTGTTGTTGTTGTTGTTGTTGTTGTGTCTCACCTGACCTTACCTGTGTTGTGTTGTGTCTCCAGGAGAGGAGTGTCTGACCCTGGCCACGAAGAGTCGCTGTCAGAACCAGCTGAAGCGCCGTCAGAGCGGCAGTGAGCGGCTGGCGGGGAACGGGCGTGCCCGCAAGGCTACCGTGGCGAGGCCCAGGGTCAGCCCAGGGAGGGTGGAGCGCAGCGGGGGTCTCTGTGAGATACACTTCCTTCCCATGGTGGTCGGGGTCAGGGATAACAACCGGACACAGAGGCTACGATGCGTGGGTGAGTTGGTGCCAACCTACCAGGCGTACAGTAGCCTGGTTCCAGAACTGTTTGTGGCGGTGTTGCCGAGTTGACGAGACAGCACAAGCAGATCTGGGACTAGGCTAGGAGTACACAATATTAGCCAACATGGGGACACAATGCTGTAGCCTGATGTAGCCTGATGTAGCCTGATGTAGCTGGAGCTCCAATGCACCAGTAGGCACCAAGAGGGTGAGTACGTAAGCTACAGTCTCTGTCTCTACACCATGTTGTGTGATGATATTCTGTGTGTTTCCAGACCACCCAGACTTTGCCCGGTGCCCCCAGCCTCTGCCCCTCACCAGCCCCAACATGCCAGTGTCCAGCTGTGAGCTCAACAAGAACACCAGGCGATGCCACCAGCAGCCCCTCGCCTCCCACCTGTCCTGCCGTCTCTACCAGACCTGTGACCACGCTGTACTGCTCTCAGGTGGGTTACAACTGGCAGCTCACCTGAACACAGACCAACACCTCCACCTCCTCCTCACAGACCAACACCTCCCCCTCCTCTTTACAGACCAACACCTCCACCTCCTCCTCACAGACCAACACCTCCACCTCCTCCTCACAGACCAACACCTCCACCTCCTCCTCAAAGACCAACACCTCCCCCTCCTCTTTACAGACCAACACCTCCACCTCCTCTTTACAGACCAACACTTCCTCTTTACAGACCAACATCTCCTCTTTACAGACAAACACCTCCTCTTTACAGACCAACACCTCCTCTTTACAGACCAACATCTCCTCTTTACAGACCAACACCACCTCTTTACAGACCAACACCTCCTCTTTACAGACCAACACCTCCTCTTTACAGACCAACACCTCCTCTTTACAGACCAACACCTCCTCTTTACAGACCAACACCTCCACCTCCTCTTTACAGACCAACACCACCTCTTTACAGACCAACACCTCCTCTTTACAGCCCAACACCTCCACCTCCTCTTTACAGACCAACACCTCCTCTTTACAGACCAACACCTCAATCAATCAATCAATTTTATTTTATATAGCCCTTCTTACATCAGCTAATATCTCGAAGTGCTGTACAGAAACCCAGCCTAAAACCCCAAACAGCTAGTAATGCAGGTGTAGAAGCACGGTGGCTAGGAAAAACTCCCTAGAAAGGCGAAAACCTAGGAAGAAACCTAGAGAGGAACCAGGCTATGAGGGGTGGCCAGTCCTCTTCTGGCTGTGCCGGGTGAAGATTATAACAGAACCATGCCAAGATGTTCAAAAATGTTCATAAGTGACAAGCATGGTCAAATAATAATCAGGAATAAATCTCAGTTGGCTTTTCATAGCCGATCATTAAGAGTTGAAAACAGCAGGTCTGGGACAGGTAGGGGTTCCATAACCGCAGGCAGAACAGTTGAAACTGGAATAGCAGCAAGGCCAGGCGGACTGGGGACAGCAAGGAGTCACCACGGCCGGTAGTCCCGACGTATGGTCCTAGGGCTCAGGTCTCTCAGTTGGCTTTTCATAGCCGATCATTAAGAGTTGAAAACAGCAGGTCTGGGACAGGTAGGGGTTTCGTAACCCCAGGCAGAACAGTTGAAACTGGAATAGCAGCAAGGCCAGGCGGACTGGGGACAGCAAGGTGTCATCATGCCCGGTAGTCCTGACGTATGGTCCTAGGGCTCAGGTTCTCAGAGAGAAAGAGAGAACGAGAGAATTAGAGAGAGCATACTTAAATTCACACAGGACACTGGATAAGACAGGAGAAGTACTCCAGGTATAACCAACTAACCCCAGCCCCCCGACACATAAACTACTGCAGCATAAATACTGGAGGCTGAGACAGGAGCGGTCCGGAGACACTGTGGCCCCATCCGAAGAAACCCCCGGACAGGGCCAAACAGGAAGGATATAACCCCACCCACTCTGCCAAAGCACAGCCCCCGCACCACTAGAGGGATATCCTCAACCACCAACTTACAATCCTGAGACAAGGCCGAGTATAGCCCACAGAGGTCTCCACCACAGCACAAACCAAGGGGGGGCGCCAACCCAGACAGGAAGATCACGTCAGTAACTCAACCCACTCAAGTGACGCACCCCTCCCAGGGACGGCATGAAAGAGCACCAGCAAGCCAGTGACTCAGCCCCTGCAACAGGGTTAGAGGCAGAGAACCCCAGTGGAGAGGGGAACCGGCCCGGCAGAGACAGCAAGGGCTGTTCGTTGCTCCAGAGCCTTTCCGTTCACCTTCACACTCCTGGGCCAGACTACACTCAATCATATGACCTACTGAAGAGATAAGTCTTCAGTAAAGACTTAAAGGTTGAGACCGAGTCTGCGTCTCTCACATGGGTAGGCAGACTGTTCCATAAAAATGGAGATCTATAGGAGAAAGCCCTGCCTCCCGCTGTTTGCTTAGAAATTCTAGGGACAATTAGGAGGCCTGCGTCTTGTGACCGTAGCGTACGTATTGGTATGTACGGCAGGACCAACTCGGAAAGATAGGTAGGAGCAAGCCCATGTAACGCTTTATAGGTTAACAGTAAAACCTTGAAATCAGCCCTTGCCTTAACAGGAAGCCAGTGTAGGGAAGCTAGCACTGGAGTAATATGATCAAATTTCTTGGTTCTAGTCAGGATTCTAGCAGCCGTATTTAGCACTAACTGAAGTTTATTTAGTGCTTTATCCGGGTAGCCGGAAAATAGAGCATTGCAGTAGTCTAACCTAGAAGTAACAAATGCATGGATTAATTTTTCTGCATCATTTTTGGACAGAAAATTTCTGATTTTTGCAATGTTACGTAGATGGAAAAAAGCTGTCCTTGAAACAGTCTTGATATGTTCGTCAAAAGAGAGATCAGGGTCAAGAGTAACGCCGAGGTCCTTCACAGTTTTATTTGAGACGACTTTACAACCATCAAGATGAATTGTCAGATTTAACAGAAGATCTCTTTGTTTCTTGGGACCTAGAACAAGCATCTCTGTTTTGTCCGAGTTTAAAAGTAAAAAGTTTTCAGCCATCCACTTCCTTATGTCTGAAACACAGGCTTCTAGCGAGGGCAATTTTGGGGCTTCACCATGTTTCATTGAAATGTACAGCTGTGTGTCATCCGCATAGCAGTGAAAGTTAACATTATGTTTTCGAATAACATCCCCAAGAGGTAAAATATATAGTGAAAACAATAGTGGTCCTAAAACGGAACCTTGAGGAACACCGAAATGTACAGTTGATTTGTCGGAGGACAGACCATTCACAGAGACAAACTGATATCTTTCCGACAGGTAAGATCTAAACCAGGCCAGAACTTGTCCGTGTAGACCAATTTGGGTTTCCAGTCTCTCCAAAAGAATGTGGTGATCGATGGTGTCAAAGGCAGCACTAAGGTCTAGTAGCACGAGGACAGATGCAGAGCCTCGGTCTGACACCATTAAAAGGTCATTTACCACCTTCACAAGTGCAGTCTCAGTGCTATGATGGGGTCTAAAACCAGACTGAAGCATTTCGTATACATTGTTTGTCTTCAGAAAGGCAGTGAGTTGCTGCGCAACAGCTTTTTCTAAAATTTTTGAGAGGAATGGAAGATTTACAGACCAACATCTCCTCTTTACAGACCAACACCACCTCTTTACAGACCAATACCTCCTCTTTACAGACCAACACCTCCTCTTTACAGACCAACACCTCCTCTTTACAGACCAACACCTCCTCTTTACAGACCAACACCTCCTCTTTACAGACCAACACCTCCTCTTTACAGACCAACACCTCCTCTTTACAGACCAACACCTCCTCTTTACAGACCAACACCTCCACCTCCTCTTTACAGACCAACACCTCCTCTTTACAGACCAACACCTCCACCTCCTCTTTACAGACCAACACCACCTCTTTACAGACCAACACCTCCTCTTTACAGACCAACACCACCACTTTACACACCAAGACCTCCTCTTTACAGCCCAACACCTCCACCTCCTCTTTACAGACCAACACAACCTCTTTACAGACCAACACCTCCTCTTTACAGACAAACACCTCTCTTTACATACCAACATATCCTCTTTACAGACCACCACCACCTCTTTCCGACCACAACCTCCCTCTTTAACAGACCAACACCTCCTCTTTACAGACCAACACCCTCCACCTCCTCTTTACAGACAAACCCGTCTCTTACAGACCACACCTCCACCTCCTCTTACAGACCAACACCACCTCTTTACAGACCAACACCTCCTAACACCTCCTCTTTACAGACAAACCTCCTCTTTTACAGATCAACATCTCCTCTTTACAGACCAACACCACCTCTTTACAGACCAACACCTCCTCTTTACAGACCAACACCTCCTCTTTAGCAGACCAACACCTCCACCTCCTCTTTACAGACCAACCCTCCTCTTTACAAGACCAACACCTCCCCTCCTCTTTACAGACCCACACCTCCTCTTACAGACCAACAACAAAAACCTTTTTTTAAAAAAGGAACCCACCGGGAAAAGGGTTTCCCCCCCAAAAAGGGGGATTTGTCGGAAAAAAGGGGACCGGGGCCCAAAAATTCCCCACAAAAAAAAAAGGACCCAAATTTTTTAAAAAAAATTTTATCTTTTTTCCGGGAACCCAAAGGGGGGGTTTAAAAATTCCCCTCAAAAAACCAAAAAAGGCCCCCCCCCCCCCCCCCCCCCCCCCCCCCCCCCCCCCCCCCCCCCCCCCCCCCCCCCCCCCCCCCCCCCCCCCCCCCCCCCCCCCCCCCCCCCCCCCCCCCCCCCCCCCCCCCCCCCCCCCCCCCCCCCCCCCCCCCCCCCCCCCCCCCCCCAGAAAAATTTTCAGCCCAAAATTTTCCTTTTTTCAAAAATTTTCTTTAAAACCGAAAACACTTTTTTAAACCCCCAACAAACCTCTTTACACCAAAAATTCTTAAACCAAACCCCCTCCTTTTTACGAAAAACCCCCCACCCCCTTTCAGCCCCCCTTTTTTCAGAAAATTCCCCCCTTTTCAAAAATTTTTAAGAAAATAAATTTTTACAGACCAACACCCCCTTTTTACAAAACCAACACCCCTCTTTAAAAGACCCCCTCCCCCTCCTCTTAAAACCCAAAACCCCTCCTTTTTTACAGAAAAAAACCCCTTTTACGACCAACCCCTTTTTTTTCCCGACAACCCCCCTTTTTTCAGCCCAAAACCCCACCTCCTCTTTACGACCAACACCTCTCTACAGAAACAACCCCTTCTTTTTTTTGGGGGGGGGCAACCACCTCCTTTTTGGGGGTTTTTTTTTGGGGGGCCTTTCCAGGGTTTTTTCTTTGGGCCTTTTTTTACGGGGGACACACAATCAAAACCCACACATTCAGAACCTCCTCTTCTACAACTAGAAAAAAACCCTTTTAAAAACCAAAACCCTTTTTTCCCCGGGAACACACCCCTCAAAAACGGGGGGACCAAAAACCCACCCGGACGGAACAACCACAGACAACACCCCACCCAACGACAACCCCCAACAAAACAACCCCAAAAAAACCCCCACAACAAAACACAACGGACAGACACACCAAACCCCAAAAAAGACAACAAAAAACACGGACACAACACCCACGGACACAACACGGACACACCCACCAAACAACGGCCCCAACCCCCCCGCCCAAATCCCCCTCCCTTTCCCCCCTTTCCTCTCAGACAAAAACCCCCTACGGGAAACATTTTGACCACACCCTTACGGGAACATTTCAACTCCTTTTCCCATCCACCCCTCCGCGACGGGCCCAAAACCTCGGGCCCAACAAAACCCTTAGAAAAATTACAGAAAAACATTTTTCCCCCAAAACATTCTTTCCCCAGCAAACCCCCCGGGGGGACTATTATTGTTTGGTATTTTGTGGTCCATATGTTCTTTTTGTCCAAATGGAGTTTTTGTTTTGTTTTTAGTTTGCCCCCCCTTGAGTAATGTTTGGGGGGTTTCCTTGCTCCCATTGGGGTTTTAAACTGATCCCCCCCGAGCCCCAAACTACCCCACCCATGTCCAACTACCCCCTCTTTTTCACAACGCTCCCCCAGTCACTAAACTCCCCCTGGAAAACAACCCCCTCCGTATCCAACGACCCCCCCCAAAAGCCAACGACCCCCGAGCACCAACCCCACCGACACAACGCCCCACCGGCAAACGAACCGAGACACGACCCCACCGACACAACGACCCCACCGAAAGCAAAAACGACCCCACCGAGACCGACCCCACCGAGCACAACGACCCCACCGGAGCCAAAACGACCCCATCCTGTTCCCAACTACTCCCATCCTGTCCCTCTGAACCGAACAAGATCCCCCTGAGAAACGAATTTTAGAAACACTCCCACCCTGTGTACACGCCCCCCATCCGGTCCTTACTCCCACCTAGACAACGACCCCCCTGAGCACTACACCCCATTGAGTAAAAAATATTTTAGTTAAACATCCCCTTATTTACTACTGCCCCACCTGATTCATAAGCTACCTAGTCCAACGCCCCCCATTTATGCACAATGACTATCATGAGTCCAACTGACTCCCACCTGTAGCCCCAAAACGCCCCCTCCTGTGTCACTAACTGACTCCCATCCTGTGTCACTAACTGACTCCCATCCTGTAGTCACTAACTGACTCCCATCCTGATGTCAATAACTGACTCCCATCCTGAGTCACTAACTGACTCCCATCCTGATGTCACTAACTGACTCCCATCCTGTACCCAATACCCCCCATCCTGATCCCTAACGACCCCCACCCTGATCACAAACTACTCCCACCCCTGAGTCACTAACTGACCCCCCATCCTGATCACTAACTGACTCCCATCCTGTAGTCACAACTCCCCCCTCCTGACCCTAACGACTCCCTCCTGTACCTAACGCCCCCCTCCGTGTCACAACTGAACTGAAATGTTTCTCTGTGGCTAAACCAGGAGACAATACAAGGGGGGGTTAAATGCTATCCTGGGAGTTTTAGGGGAAATTGGGGGAAATGCTAAGGGTAAAGGGTCCCCTGAGTATTACCCGGCTCCTCCTTTTATTTAATAACGACCCCCCGGGGGTTCCCCGAAGGGGTTACCGTTACTAACACCCTCCGGTCCTCCGTCCAGGTTAACCCGTTTACATCACCGACCCCCCCAGGCTTTTAAAACATTTACTTTACATTTTAGTCATTTAAGGCTCCCCCTTATCCAACGTTTCAGAGCAATTAGGTTAAGTCCTTCCGGGGCCCATTAACCCCCATTTTACAGACCCTTAGCCAACGACTCACAAATTGGTCGTTCATAATACCATTGGAAAAACCACTTTACAATTTGGGGGGGGGGGGATTTTTTTTAAAAAAAACTTTTCCTATCCCAGGTATTCCTTAAAAGGGTTTTTCAAAGTCTCCGGGGGGTTATGACTCCCTTCCTGGGTCTAGGGACTTGTTCCAACCATTGGGGTCCAGATCACCCAAATTTTTACGGGGGCTGAGGGGGCTTCCCCGGGCAAAAGGGGGGGAGCCAGCAGGAAGGGGTTAACCAATGCCCTCGGGGTGTGGGGATGAATGAGCCTGAAGGTAAAGGTGCCGTTCCCCCCTGCTCCTAAAAACCCATGGTTGACGGTACTTCAACGAACCAGGGTTTCGGAGGGGGGGGTGACGTAAAACGGGAAGGGTTAAAACAAAAGGGGGTGGGCTTTGGAGAGTTTTAGGGGTTTTAAAAGGAAAAGGGGGGGGCCGCCAACACGAGCATACCCCAACGGGGAGAAAAAGTGCGCCCAAAACCCGGGGCCCCGTTCCCCTTTAAAGGGCGGGGGTCCACTTCCGAAGTTTGAGATAACCTGCAGGAGGGGGTCAGCCGGGTGTTGGGGGAAAGACGGGTGTTGGGGGGGCCCCCTGTTTCCCCTGGGGGGAACAGGGGAGGTTTTCCCCCGGATGGCGAGATCGGAAAGGGGAGCCCCCCCGGGGGAAAGCAGCCCTTTTTGGGGTTTTGTTGAGGGTACCCGACCCATACGATAGTTCCCCTAAAATCCCCTTTGCCCCTGGTTTTAAAGGGGGAAGGAGAAAAAGGTGATGTCAGGGGGGGAAAAGGGAAGGAAACCTTGGGAAAGGGGGAAACCAAGTGCTTGGTGATAGGGGAAAAGGAAGGGCCCCAAACCCGGGAGTGGGGACAAGGGAGAGACGGGTGCGGAACAGCTTCCCCCCGCCCTTTGAGCGACCCCTTTGGTAGGACCTCCAGGAGGACCCGCCCGGAGCCCCCAGCGAAGGGGTGGGAGGGTCATGGTTTCACATTAAAGCACAGCAGGTCAAAGGACGAGAAGGGGGAATTTTTTTCGGGGAGAGCTCCGTCCGAGGGCAGTTGGGTGTGCCGCCCCTACCGATTGGGTTTTGGATCAAGAATCATTCGAGAGAGAAAAAAAGGGGTTTTTTGGAAAGCGGACCCCAAATGGGGTTTTGGAAAAGAAAAAAAAGAAGGGGTACTGTTGTATTGGAAAATAGGGGGTCGAGTGGGTTTTTTGAAAGGGGAGAAATCCGCCCCCTTGAAACGGAAGGGACAGGAGCGGCGGAGATTGCAGCGGGGGTGGGAGGGGAAAGGGGGGTCACCCGGAGGGGTCTGGGAAGGGAGAGGGGGGGGGGTAAGGGGGGAGGTTGTTGGGGGCCTCATACAGTCCCGATTTTTTGGAAAAAGGGGGGAGAAAGAACAAGAAGGGTAGGGCAGTGTGGAGGGGGACCCATGTATTGTTAACAAGGGGGGGATTTCGTTTTTTAAAGGGGGACATCTCCAAGAAGAGAGGAGGGGGGGGGGGGGGGGGGGGGGGGGGGGGGGGGGGGGGGGGGGGGGGGGGGTTTGGGGGGGGGGGGTTTTTTTTTTTTTTTTTTTTTTTTTTTTTTTTTTTTTTTTTTTTTTTTTTTTTTTCTTTTTTTTTTTTTTTTTTTCCCTTTTTTTTTTTTTTTTTTTTTTTTTTTTTTTTTTTTTTTTTTTTTTTTTTTTGGGGGGGGGGGGGGGGGAGGATTCAGGAGGGAGGAAAATGTGTGCAAAGAGCTTCCTAGGGTTTAGAGGCAGATGCTTGGAATTTAGAGTGGTAGAAGGTGGCCTTAAGCAGCAGAAACAGATGAAGAAAAATGTAGAGAGGAGGGAGTGAAAAGATGCCAGGTCGGCAGGGAGTTTAGTTTTCTTCCATTTCCGCTCCGCTGCCCGGAGCTCTGTTCTGTGAGCTCGCAATGAGTCATCAAGCCACGGAGCTGGAGGGGAGGACCGAGCCGGCCGGGAGGATAGGGGACACAGAGAGTCAAAGGA